AATCTAGAAAGTGGAAAACGGGGCTGGGAGGGTCCAGGAGGAAAGACTGAGGAGTTAGTCCTTGCTTTCAGATTCCCATTTTCACTCTGATCCCTAAAGTGAACAATCAACTTTTACAAGCCTCCCAAATCTTTGATGAAGCAGTGCCCTAGAACAGGCAGTTACTGCTACATCACACTGTCCTACAAACTTATAGGCAGTGATACCACTATCAATTAAGAAACCATATCCCAACAGCACTTCAACTCAGGAACCTGTAAACTTCTAGAAGTGGACATAGCATACATGCTCCTGGGAATTTAAAAGGTGGGCTATGGTGATATTAATAAAGATGATTTCACATGTGCTGAGAAAAACCAACCTATGCACCTGGAACCTTGAAGTGGCCTGAGGTGTGGAGGTGGTGTGGGGTACAGAAAAGTAAGACTACCTCAGGCTCAAAGTAAACAGGAGGGGTACAGTGGGGGAAGACAAACATTCATAGAAATCAGCTATAAGGGGTCTGAAAAATTACCTCCTCACCACTTTTTGCTGCCCACATTTTACAGGTGGAAAAACACTGATGAGATTCTGAGAGAAGACACAAATTGCTAATTTGCTCAATGTTACACAATGAATAAAGGCAGAGCTGAGACTGGTTCCCACTGAAGGGTTCTGTCAACTACATTATGCATACTCAATGTGCATGTTGGGAGATAAGGCAAACACCAGGACTGTAAATGTCCAGTGGTAACAAAAATTAAAATAAAATAAAATAAATTTAAAAAATAATAAATAAAATAAGGTAAAATAAAAATAATAAAATCAAATAAATAAAATAATAAAATGAAATAAAATAGATTAAAAATAAAATTAAAAAATAAAAAACAAAATAAAATAAAATATAAAATAAAATGACACATTACACCAGGAACCAAGATGGCGTGAACAGGATTTCATATGCAGCAAAATTTCTTCTATTTACAGTGATAACCATGTTGCTTTGGACAGGGCCTTAAGCTTGCCAAGCCCTTTTATTTATTTTATTATTGTTGTTTTTAATCCTCACCTGAGGATATTTTTTCCATTGCTTTTCAGAGAATGGAAGGGAGGAAGTGGGGAGAGATAGAGAAACATCGATATGAGACAGACCCATTGACTGGTTGCCTCCCATTCTCACCCCAACAGGGAGCGGGGGAATAGGGGAAACAAACCTGAAACCCAGTTACATGCCCTTGACCGGGAATCGAACCCAAGACCCTTCAGTGCATGGGCAGGCCTCTAACCACTGAACCACACCTGCCAGGGCTCACAAGCCCTTTCACATACAAGATCTAATTTGATTGTACTTGTATTTTATAGAAACAAGGGACAGAAAAGTTCAAAACAGCTAAGTGACTTGCCAAGGTCTCACGGTCAGAGGCAGAGACTTAAACCCAGGTGTCCTGTTTCTTTTACTGTATTGAATTAGTCTTTCTTTGTTAAGTTTTATACTTAAATTAGTAATCCCTAGTTAAAAAACTTCCACCCTCTAATTAACCAGTGTGCCTGGAGAGTAGAATTTTTACACTGCTGCCTAGCACGGTTCATGTATGTGTTGCTGATACTTTTCCAGGAAATGTCTAAAACCTATAAATGGCACTTAGTGCAAGTTCACAACAAGGGTAATTTGTAATATTACACAAATTGTCATTGTATGAAAACATTCCTGGCATACAAATGGCTAAGAGACATAAGAAAAAATGCTCAACGTCGCTAATCATCAGAGAGATGCAAATTAAAACCACAATGAGGTATCACTTCACACCTGTCAGAATGGCTGCCATCAACAAGTCAACGAACTACAAGTTCTGGTGAGGGTGTGGAGAAAAGGGCACCCTAGTACACTGCTGGTGGGAATGCAGACTGGTGCAGCCACTATGGAAAGAGGTATAGAGTTTCCTCAAAAGATTAAAAATTGACCTGCCATTTGACCCAATGATCCCACTTCTGTGAATATATCCTAAGAAACCCAAACACCAATCGCAAAGAACTTATGCACCCCTATGTTCATAGCAGCGCAATCCACAATAGCTAAGATTTGGAAACAGCCCAAGTGCCCATGAGTAGATAGATAAGTAGATAAAAAAGCTGTGGCACATTTACACCACGGAGTACTATGCAGCTGTGAAGAGGAAGGACCTTTTGGCCTTTGGCATAGCATGGAGGGAACTAGAGAGTATTATGCTAAGTGAAATAAGCCAGTCGGAGAAGGACAAGTACCAAATGATCTCACTTATATGTGGAATATAATAAACAAAATAAACTGATGAACAAAGTGGATCCAGTAACATAGAAGCTGGGAACTGAGGGATTTCAGAGGGAAGGTGGGGAGGGAGGTGTGGGTGAGGAGGGATTAATCAGGGAACTTGTATGTTTATGGGCATGGCCCATGGATGGGGACATTGGTATGGGGAGGGCCTGGGGGTGGGATGGATGTGGGGTGGAGGGGAATCAGTGGGGTTAAAAGGGGGACATCTGTAATGGTCTCAACAATAAAGATTTAAAATTTTAAATTAAAAAAAAAAAACAACACACAAAAAAACCCATTCCTGGGTTTCCGTGACACTAAGCCTGTCCATCGTCCAATGTAGGAAAACTGGGCTTTCAAGGGTACCCAAAATAATGACCGAGACAGTCTTTCTTTGTTCTAACTTAAGGGTACCTTTTAGATTCCCAGACTGGTGATCAAGCATAAAGCTTTATATTTGCATAGAAAATATAAACAGAAAAAGCTGTCACCTTATTCTTTGTGTCTGTGGGAACGCCTTCTGGAATTGCAGGTGCAGATGCTGCTTCATCCAAGTAAGAACTGTCTTCATCAGCCAGAAGCTCATCACCCAGTGCATCCAACTCTGAAATTGAAATAGTCAACATTTCAAAACTATGTAATGAAGAAAACTGGGAGCTAATGTTGAGAAAGCCCAATTATTTATAAGAGGAACATTTAAAAACTAAGGGAAAGGGATTACTAATTTCTATTTTCAAAATCAAAGATTAGCATTGTAAGAAACTTTCAAGAGAAATGATGTGGTAAAATCTATGAAAAACCAAAATAAAAATAAAACAAACAGCCCGGCGGGGCATGGCTCAGAGGTTGAGCGTCAACCTAGGATCCAGGCGATCGGGGTTCGATTCCCGGTCAGGGCACATGCCTGGGTTGTGGGCTCAATCCCCAAAGACTCTCTCATCATTGATGTGTCTGTCTGTCTCTCTTTCTCTCTCCTTTCCTCTCTCTGAAATCAATAAAGATATATTTTTTAAAAATAAATAAATAAAAATAAAACAAACAAAACCACCATTCCCTATGGGTTTAAAAGGCCCCCAGTCTTCACGAGAAGACTCTCTAGTTATCAACTGGCCAATTCAAATTATAAATTCCTGATAATAACAAATGCAAAAAATTCTCTCTCATTTATTGATGAACCTGAAAGAGGATAATGAACATAAGTAGAAATTGTTGTATACTGAGTGATCATTACATGAGTCAGGCTTTTAAAAAAAGTCTATGGCAAAATGAGTAGAAAGTGACCAGGAGGAATGGCAATAGCAGGCAGAGACTCATAGAAGAAACTCTAGATGGGAAGTAAGAAAATAAAGAAATGAATGGAGGAGGGGGAGGTTCCAGGCAAAAACAGGACATGGAGGGGACAGGGAGAAGGAAGCAGTTGTAATGTTTTACAGGGACATCACGTGACAGAAAATCCAGTGTAGGGTGGTTCTGCCATCTACCCAGTTACTCATGCTAGAAACTGACAGACATCCTTAATACCTCCCTCTCCCTCCATATCCAATCAATTATTAAGTCTTGTCCATTCAGTCTCCTAAAATTTCTTCAATCTGTTCACTTCTCTCTGTTTCTGCTACCACAACCCATAGTTTCTGCTACCCATAGTCTCAGACACCATCTCTTAAAGATTACAGCAATAGTTTTAATGTTTTTATTAATTTGAGAGAGAGAGAAAGGGAGAGGGAGAGAGAGAGAAACACTGATGTGATACTGATGGGCTGCCTCCTGCACACCCCCTACTGGAGTTCTAGCGGGCAACCTGGGCATGTGCCCTGACAGGAAATGGAACCTGTGTGCGAACTTTTGGTACATGGGATGATGCTAAACCAACTGAGCCACACTAGCCAGGGCACAGAAATAGTTTTTAAACTACTCTCCCTAAGGCCATGCAACAACCCTTCTCATTTTTCCTACTAACTCCTACTTGTCCTTCCGGTCCCATGCCTGTCCCCCACTCCCAAATGTTAGATTCCCTAGTTATGTGCTTCATGGTACCCCATACTTCTCCAACCATTTGTGCTCTTGTAATTAACTACTTGAAAGAAGCAGTTTCTTACCCCTGCTCAAGGGGTCATATTTGTTTTTTCCAATGCTGAATCCCCAGCACCTAACACAGTGTCTGGTATATAGGAGATACACAATAAGTATTTGCCAACTACTATTTCTTGATCTATTTTGCTGTTCCGAGAGAGAGGAGTCCAAGTAGCAAAACAGGGAGAACAAAATCAAAAGGAAAACAGCAGGGAAAGGCAGTATTTAGATACCAAGCACTGGGTTAGAAAAGGCCTTTGAGTGGACCTCCCTTCAGAGCCTGTCCATTCCGGAGTTGTTGGTATAGTATGCAAGTCCAATGTGGCTGCCTCACAAGTTCTCTTCCCACAGACTGTACCATAAACTGTCTCTTAAGGAACCCTCACAGGAATTTTCTCTAGCACTTGGGAGAAGGTCCCAGGCAGTTGCTCCTTTCAAACTCAAAAGCTACATATGCACTGCTTTTTCCATAACTTACCTGCTTCTAGGTCATCTTCATCTAACTCTGGGGTGCCATAACTACGACTCAGTGCTTCTTGGATTTCATTTGCATCTTCCATCATATCCTCTAGCTGGTCTTGTAAATCCTATAAGAAGATCAGACAAGATTTTTACTCATTTCTTACCATTTTCCTATACCCCTAGCTTGTACTCTCTCCCTGAATCTTAAAAAGGAGCAATTTTTAAAAAGATGATGTACAGGGAAACGGAAGTGAGCGGCGGGGCTAGCTGACCGTAACAGGTTGAGGGGCTCTTCGCAGAGTGAGCTGAAGATGAATACCAGAGGACTTGGATCTCAGCTAAAGGACAGTATTCCAGTTACTGAGCTGTCAGCAAGTGGACCTTTTGAAAGTCATGATCTTCTTCAGAAAGGTTTTTCTTGTGTGAAAAATGAACTTTTGCCCAGTCATCCTCTTGAATTATCAGAAAAAAATTTCCAGCTCAACCAAGATAAAATGAATTTTTCTACACTGAGAAACATCCAGGGTCTGTTTGCTCCTCTAAAATTGCAAATGGAATTCAAGGCAGTGCAACAGGTTCAGCGTCTTCCATTTCTTCCAAGCTCAAACCTTTCACTTGATATTTTGAGGGGTAATGATGAGACTATTGGGTTTGAAGACATTCTTAATGACCCATCACAAAGTGAACTAATGGGAGAACCACATTTAATGGTGGAATATAAACTTGGTTTACTGTAATGCAGTGAGCTGACCATGGAAATGGAGGGGCTTTATCTTGTTTACAATCGTCTTTTTACTATAATTTTATGTATACAACATTAAAAGTACTGACACATGAAAAAAATAAAAAATTAAAAAAATAAAAAGATGATGTACAAAAAAATGCAGAGAACATAACAAATTCTCAACAACTGTTACTCCGGTCCTTGGCTAGTGACTATTTTTAGTCAACACCTGAGTAGGTGCTCCTCTAAAGGACAGGTTTGAGTAACTCCTGAATGTTCCTTCTAATTAAAAGTGTAAGAAAGTGAGCTTACAGAATTATTTAAAGATCACAAGTTTGAAGATTTTCCCTAACAATAACTATAAATATCACCAACCCATATAATCCTCCTCCTGTTTTTGGTGGTGAAAATGTAAACTTCAAAATAAAGAGGAACAAAATTGGTGATCTTGCATTTGAATTTAAGATATCTCATGGAAATTCAAAGTCCTATTGCAAGACTAGATACCCATCATCTCTCTGTCATTACAGATGTTTACCTGAAACATTACATCAAGCAACAGCTACACTATCAACATTTTTCTAATTAATGGAGAAGAAGAGGTAATTGAGACAAGCAAATCACTCTTCTTGAGTTAGCCAAACACTGACTACACTGTGTAAGGAGGCAGTAGCAGAAACTAGATGGTATAAAAAGTTATACCGGGTCCACCATGGTTGGGGAAACAGAAATGGAAAAAGGAAAGGCTTGATATCTGAGACCAGGCTGATGAAAATCATTGACTGAGGGCATAAATCATCTGTGAATAATCTACTTGTACTTAACTGGAAGACTAATGCAAAGCCAGAAAGAATGTACAACAAATCTGAGAAGGAGTGTAGCATAATTAAGGGCAGTTAGCATAATGGTTTAGAGATCTAACTCTGGAGTCAAAGCCAAAATTTTGTCATTACTCCATGAAAAGTAATGTCTCTAAGCCTTAATTTCTTCATCTGTAAAATGGTATTATTTATTTTATTTTTTAAAAATATGTCTTTATTAATCTCAGAGAGAGGAAAGGAGAGGGAGAGAGAGAGAGAAACATCAATGATGAGAGTCATTGATGGGCTGCCTCCTACACGCCCCCCACTGGGGATCGAGCCCACAACCCAGGCATGTGCCCTGACCAGGAATTGAACCCCGACCTCCTGGATCCTAGGTCGATGCTCAACTGCTGAGCCACGCCCAGACAGGCTAAAATGGTATTATTAATAGCCATACCTCATAGGGTTATGTAAGGATTTATTGCAATAATGTATGTCAAACACTAAGCACTTAATATTATGTGTCTTCTACTATGTTAATAATGCGCAGAACAATATACTCGTCACATACTGAAAATTCTATATAACAGGGTAGTGCTGATACTGCAAAAGGCTCAAATTAGCATCACTTATCCTTCAGAACTTCTAGAGCAACACAAAATATTTGAAAAGTCCTTCCTGGTCCCCAAATCAGAAGTTTGTTTTTCCAAATAAAGGGTAGAAAGTAAAACGGAAAAAACACTAAAAAGAAAAAAGAAAACGCTCTGCTTTCCTGCATTTCCAAGTGTCAAACTACTACATTGTATATATGTAACATTTTGCTATACAGAGAAACACTGGCTGAAACAATAATTAAAAGAGTGAAAATAACATGTTAATCAAGTTAAATTTATACTATGCTACTACTACATATGAAGACAAGACATTCTCTCAAAATTGTCTATGAATAGGGTTCCTAGCAATAGACTCTATGATACAGGGGAAAAAAATCTTCACACAAAGAACTGGTAGATTCAGTACTAGATAAACAAACAAAAGCAATATAAACAAGTACAAGCACTTGATGTGCAGAAACTAAAAAATAAAAAAGGCAGAGCTACACACATACAAACAGAAGCAAAATTTAAAAATGAAAGCTATAAAACAATGAAAATATTTTACAAGTATTTTAGGAAAACAAATTAAATTCAAAACATATAACCCGATCAAAGAGACACACACACCCCCTAAAAGAATTAGAAAGAGACTCTCCTCCTGTCATGTGGGCATGCCTATTAAGGGACAGAAAAAGGGTAATTAGGTAGACAAACAGCCAGCCACAGGTGAAAGATGGAGAGACATACTAAAAAACCCAGAAAGAGCAAAGTTTCTATTTTGTTTTTTACATAGCTCTAATTAAAACACATGGAACCCTAAAAGCAGAAAATAAAATTCAATTTCATTATATATATATTTTAAATATGTTTTTATTGATTTTTTTTTTTTTTTTTTTTTTTTTTTGGGGGGGGGGG